GTTCTCCTTTCTAATCAAAGGGAAAATTGAAGTCACAAAGTTAGGACTCCCCGTTCCCGTCTTGATGCATTCCTATAGGATTCATGCATTTTACTCATTCGCTATCACATACACTTCTACTTTATATTCTAACCCTTTTTCCACATTCTCACTTCACACTACTTTTGCACGTTTTCACTCAAATACTCACACTTTTATAACATCACTCGCACACATGCACTTTATGTTATCTCACATACATTTTCACGTTGTTACTTTACTCACCTTACCTTGTAAATACATTTGCACCCCTCCACTTACATCTTATTATTTTTATTACTTTTCTCACTTCACACAAACTCACGTTTTCACATGGCATGCATTCCACTCATTTTACGTCATTTAGGATTATGTGTGACCTCTCCAAAGGATCATTATTGGGCTTCACAATTAATGTGATTGGCACCACTCAACCTTTGAAGAGAAATTTCCCCCATGTCCCCTAGGTCTAGGTTTTTGCATTCATGTAGTACATCCAAATGTAATAAATTCTTTGGTTAAAACAAGAAAATCTTTGATTAAATCACGCAACTAGCCTTGGTTAGGTCGAAGGGGTGCCTTGGATTTTTATCCTTACCTTCCCCTTCGTCAAATGTGATTCCCGAACCTTTTTTCGTTGGTTTACGTGGACTAGGAGTCGTTTAAAAGGGGTTTCTTACTACTTTTTCCTATTTTTTCTTTAAAAATTCATTTTTAGGTGACTTGGTACACCTTAACTCATTACCAAGTGGCGACTCCGATTTTTTATTTCAAAAACCCTTTTTAAACTATAGTTTTGGGTCAAATCGTCGCATTCTCAAACCCCCATTTAGACCAATTTTTCTTTTAAATCACAATTCATTTTCCAATCACAAATTGAATCAAAAAATACATTTTTAAACCATTTATTTATTTATTAAAAAATGGGGCGGGACACATTGCACAGGATTTCAATAGGGTGATAACAAATTTGGAGATAGCTGATCTTGATGATGGTGACAAGCTAACTGCATCTACTTGGCTTAGGAGAATACCATATAAATTTTGATCTAGAACCCATTATGAGCATATCAGCAAGGAGTGACATTACAATCAACAACTTGAATTTATATTCTAAAAGCATGAGATGAACTAATAAATAACTTATTAGAGTTCTTTATGAGTAAAATGATACAAAGAGTCACACTGAAAATATAGGAAATGTAAAAATATAGAGGATGTCTGTGTTCTAACATTGATGAAAAATTGAGAGGAATAAGATTTTAAGTAGACATTGTATTCTAGCCTTTGATAGAGTACATTCTTATGAAGTTGATAATTTTAACGTAACTAATGTTGTTAATCTGTCTTTGTTTAGCAAGACCTGCACATGTAGGGAATTCCAGTTGACTAGAGTGCCATATGTTCATGCTACTGCTGCCATCCAAGCAGCAAGATTGAAGGTGGAAGGATACATTGACAGCTGCAACACCAAAGAGGCTTACTTGAGAAACTGCAAATTCAATGGGGGCACATTTCCTTCCAAAGAGTTATCGTTTGATAGTGAAATGCTAATCTAGCCGACTTTTCAATTATGTGTATAGGCACCACAATGTAACAGTTAAGTAGGAACAATTTCTATAGCAAATGTAGCAGGGCCTCAAGCAGCAATTTTATCTTCTCAACTTGGTAGTGATACTAGAACAAGTAGCAACAATTATTGAACTAGTACTAGCAAAGTTGAGAAGAGAAAGAGATCGAACAAAAATTAATGTTTTATGTATTTTTTATTGTGGACAGATTTTAGTCCTTATATGTTATAGACTAGTTATGAAGATCAATATTGATTATTTTTCTATGCTGAATTAGTTAATTTGATCAATTTTTTCCCATCAATTTAATCATGTTACACTTGTTTTCAACATTGGGAAAATAAGTGTTCTCTAATTTTTGCCTTCTAAGAAAAGAATAGGTCTAATTTTTTGATGTTGCTCTTGTAATGATGATATTGATGTGATTGTTGGGTGTTTACCTTTTTGGTGTTCATTTTGTAATGCAGTATTTGAATGACTGCATTTTGTAAAGGTAGTATTTGCATGATCGGGTGTTTTGAGTTTAAGCTTGTCTTGATTTTTCTTTAGCTAAATTTCAATCAATAATAGACTTCTACTCCAAATTTGATTGAAGATCGTTAGGTAGAACACAATGTATTCTCTAAAATGAACAATGTAAACTCTAGAATGAACAATTCATAACAAAAGAAAGTTATCAAATCATTGATAATCAGTTGCCACATTGCATTACAATACTGTAGAGCTAATATTATCTAAGCCAAGCAAGAACTAATGACGAGTATCAAACACACAAACACACTAACAAGGTCATCTTTAACATCCCAACTATACCTCTGATTTTGTTCATTTTCTAACAAATTCCCCGCTAAACCTTGTCATGGTTCATCACCAAATTACCTTCACGTTTTTCATCCTTAAACCAAAATCAATCATGCCTTCCCATTTCATCAAACAACTTTGACAAGTGGATTCATTGTCGACTCCATCTCTTCTTATTGGATTATATAATGACCAAACTAATAAAATTACTTTACAAACATAATACAACATCTCTTTTGTAGGTTTTATTAGACTCTACAATCTTGATTTTTGCTTTGTTCTCGTAGGAGCATATTTTCCATTCATATCTCGAATCCCTCGATTCTCCACCAGTAATGTTAGAGCCTGACATTCCTTCTTGGAAGAAAGGATCTTGCAACTTTCAATCTGTCAATTTTACTCTCTCTCTCTCTCTCTCTCTCTCTATATATATATATATATATCTTCTGAGAGATTAAAGATATTTGCCCTAAAGCCACATATGTATTTGACTATCAAAGGTGAGTTTTGGTATGATAATATGACTTGTAGATCTAACCAATGATGTTTTTGATGACTTGCATGAATTTGCCTCGCGTGTGTATCAACAGTCGTTAACAGAGGTTAACTCCATTCATTTTCCATATCAATTCAAACCACAAAGGGTTTATGTGGATATTTTGAAACTATACGCTGGTTTATTGACTTGGGCAAAACTATAAGACGGTTTTCTATATTTTACTCTATAATTTATCTTAATACAATTTCCACTAGCAAATTTCTTAGAATATTGTTTAAAAAAAAAAGTCACAAAAATGGGAGGATTGGGGGGCATTTTCTTCTTTTAGGGAGATACGGATACCAAAAATTTTTTTTTTTTTTTTTTTATAGTTACAAAGTTGTCACGCATGGAATATACAATAGCCAAAATTGTACCTCCAATCTCTAAGGGATTGGAATTGAAAAGGCCGCACAATTATATTTTTTAAATGAATAGAGCCCTATTTTAACATCGTCCGACATAATAAAATGACAACCTTAATTATTGTGCACCTAACATGTGGACAGGCTTAGTGAAGGTCTTGAAACTTTCTTTAACAAAGAGGAAAAAAATCTAAGAATCCTCCACTTGTAGCACATTACCTCAGCAATAGAGGAAAAGAAAAAGAATCCATTGTTGTTATCAGATAAAGAGAAAAACCCAAGACCCAAAAAAATGGTTCCATAGCCTCACTTATTATCCCCAAAAAAGAGAAAATAAAAAGCCAAAAGGAAACCATCAACCACGAAAACAAGTAACTTTTGTAGTATGTTTCTAGGACTAATAACTCTTTTTAATGGAAAAGAAAAAAGTAAATAGAAGTTTGCACTTTCAAGATTTTGGATTAATTTATTAGAATAGTGTTAGTAATTTATGGATTACATTTAGAAACAGTATTATTATCATTTCTTTGAATTCAACTATTGGTGACTTATTTGGTTAGCTTTTCTACATTTTTTTCTCGATTGAAACTTGAGTTATATTAAAGCCATTTTATCTCAGAATTAATTCCAAAACTTTAAGAGCACATTTTTCTTACTTTGCACCCTTGATTATAAGATTGGATCTATTTGTCCCATTTAGTATTTGATATTTTCCAAATGGGTACAACTATCATAACAAGTATATTTTCTCATCAATTGTTCAAAGAGAAACACAAGTAAGTATAGAATACAAAATTACATCTACATAACTCAATAATGCTCTTGGATGTGAAGAATCTATATATATGCAACAATTATGAATACAATTAGGTAGAAAATTAGAAGAAAAAAAAAGAATAAATAGGAAAAATTTGATTTTCTAGGTCACACTCTAGCTGAAAAAAAGATGAACATGCAGCTTAATGGTCTCGATCATTAATTGTAGTTAAATAGGCCCAAATAATTATAATATGATTTCACAAGAGTGCTTAAATTTCCTTAAGATCTCAAAAAAAATGTTTTTTATGGGTCACCACACATGTCTGTTCATTACAAAAAAAATTTTTGTGTGGCTTTTTCAATTCCAATCCTTAAGGGACTGAAAGTGCAATGTTCATGTGTGGTAGCCATGTAGCTTTAGAAAAAATAAAAACAATTTTTTTGGGGAGATGTGGCGAATCTAAAAGAAGAAAAAGCCCCTATATTTTCCTCATGGTGCGACTTTTTTTTTTTTTTTTTTTACAATATTCTAAGAAAATTTCCAATTTTCACTTTGTTTTATCATCTAAATCTTACTTTCTTTTTTAATTATTACTAGAAACTTTTAGATATTAATTATTTTGTGAATATTTGCTATTATTTAAAATTATATATATATATTGGAGTTATAATTTCTTCTGCTAAAAAATCAAAATAAAAAATGTTTGATTCATTTTGAAATACTATTATCATGTAGACTTTACAAGAGTACAAAGATAAATATATAAAAAAAACTAAAAGGAGGGTAATTGCTAAAATATGTATACAAATCAAACTTTATTAATTAAGCAAAATAGTAATAAAAATGTGATATTTTCAGCGTTTTCTTTCTTCTCATTCCATATTTAATCTAAGATAAGATGGATCAATTATGCTTTCCTCTACTTTCCCTTTCCGTTGGATTCATTTCATTTCATTTCCTTCCCTTCTCTTTACACCGATCCAAAGGGTGCCAAAGAGTTTTGACTATAAGCGCTTATGGGACCCGCCTCCAAATCTCTCTGACCGTTAGTTGCATTGCCAAATTGCCACCAGCAAAGCTTCTCCTCTTCTCAATTGCGGACTCTCTGAGAAGTGTATTTTGCAGACTCCCATACCAAAAACATCCAACTGTTCAGCAGGCGAAAAGGTGCGCGAACAAATTATTTCAACTTAAGTTTAAACCCCAAGTTTTATTTTTTTCTTTCATTCTTTTTCTTGTATGACCTCTATTGCCAAATATTTTACCTATGTATCACTTGAATATTCTTGAAAATTACGCATTGGCTGGCAGCTCTCTAATATAAAGTCAAAATCGCTGCCATCCCACATATGATTCAAATTGAGAAGATTTTGCCTTTTGCTTTCTTCGATTAATCTAAATTAGAGAAACCCCAATTGATTGCTTGGCATGTCCATTGAAATTTCTCTGGAATTTTACTTGTGATTTTTTTTTTTGGTAAATTGGGTTTTATTTTGGGCTAAATTTACTGTATTTTGTCCTTAAAAACTGGAATGAGAATTTGCTGTTGGTAAGGGACTTTTGACTTTGTTGAGCTGTTTATATGTTTTACTCATTTTTTTCTTATTATGGTTTTTTGGATATTAAATATTATTGTCAAATTGGGTCCACTTCAATTGTTAAAAAACAGCTGAAATTCATGCTTAAACAAGAAGGATTGGTTCCCTTTTTGTTTGCAACTTTGAAATGGGTAAATTCATGCTCAGTTTCGTTCCCATTTTTTGATTTTTAGCATGATTTGTCCCTTGTATATATGAATAATGTTATCTTGTAGTTAGTCATATGCAACTTTGAAATGGTTAAATTTAGGATACTAAATAGGACAATAGTTAAATATAGGACTAAACTTAGAGGGGTTAGGAATGTAAGGATCCAAATGTATGAAATTTAGATAGAAGCACTGAAAGTGAAACTGTTTCAACAATTGGGAAGACAAAAGGCAATTCATCCATCTTCCATATGTTCTTTGTTATTTGTTTTTATGTTAAGTTCTTGTCAATGCTCTGGAAATTAAGAAGGTGTAACTTTATTTTTACCTACCAAAAAAAAGGTAAATTTATTTTTTGTACTGGCTTAAAATCAGATAAATGAACAGGAATCATAGGTCTGTCAGGTCCATGTCCTTCACAGTATAGCATGAAGGTGCCAATCCAACGATCTTTATGAACTCATTTCAGCTTTGTCATATATTTTGTAAGCCAAATGTTCTTAATGTAGATGTTCAACTTGCCTTGACAGCATCATGAATGTGTGGCAGATCAGATGCAAGGGAAGTATAAATTGATGAGATACTTATAATGAGGTGGGGCTATGTCTAATGGACTTTTATCTGGATATCATCTTAGATGAAAATTTACTGCAGTCTTGGTTTCTGACATAGCAAATTGGAAATTTAAGGGTTTTTTTGTGATGGTGCAGGGGCAACAGTTTGGAGGGTATAAAGTTACTTACCCAGCCAATAAGTGGATTATAATCTAGTTTATTGTCAAATGCCATGGTTTAAGCTAGTCACCAAGTAACTTCATCAATTTGATCCTTCTGTGAACATGATAAAGTTTAAGGAGTCTTTCTTTGCCAGGGTCCAGAGTACCTCAAACAATAAAGTTTCTTTTTCCTGATAGATCTGACTGTCCTTTACGAGGTCCAATGATGTCTGTGGACTGCTGCATAGATGATATGATGTTGCAAATATCATAGGCACATCCGATTTGACTGTGTACGGTCAAAGAAGTCTTAAACATTGAGCTACAGCCTACAATATGTAGGTTATTATAAGAAGGGCTTCTTAGGAAGGATGGTGTAGGGTCCAACAAAATTCAATATTAAGTAAAAAGAAGTAAAGAAAGGCTGCACTAACTTACAGAACCTTAATGATTTGATCTCCCTTTTTTCGTCAAAATTGGAAGCTGCATTTGTAACCAGGAAGTATAATTTTGTTGTTTTGTTGATTGGCGGACACACTCACTTACATCAATCTTGAGTCGGTGAATTTGCAGTGGACTTATATCTCAGTAAATTTGCTGTAAATTGCGTTATCTGCATTGAGAATGTAGTTAATTCTTCCCTTTTTTTTGTTCATTAGATGACCTCATGTCTCTAACAAAATGTGACATGTCATATATTAAATTCGCCTCCACGTCAGAGTTTCAATTGGGTCACTATTCACCTTCTGATGTCCATGTTATAAACTTGTTCTTAAAACCCTACTTTAGTGAATTTTTAATTCTTAAAATTAAATAGATCCTCCAGACAAGTAGATTTATGCTTCAATCTGATAGGCAAATGGTGGTCTTGTTTGACTTATCCTTTTAAGTACCGAAACAATAGTTCTTACGGTCATTTTATACTAAATTAGAGCATCCAAGTTTGATATGGCCTGTTATATGGAATTCAAAAGTTTATAAAAGTAAACAATTTTACGGAAGTTGCTATTTAGTGATATGCGTTTCATTATGCTTTTTCTCTACAATGCAGGGATGCTACGTAAATCACCAACTCCTCCATTGTTGACCTCAGATTCCACCGCATGCGGCATTTTCTTTTCCTCTGTAAGTGTTCATTGACATTGCATGGGACTAGTATTTTCTGTAAAACACTTCATTGTTTCATGAAATATTTTGGCATGGATCATCTGATGTCATTGTCCTTTTCTTGAGATGTGACCCTTCAATACATATTAGTCATAAAAAAGCATCAAAGTTATGCTCAGCAGTAAAATTAGCATCGCAGAGAAACTAGACTTAATCTTGGGCATGGCAGGTTCTGTTAAATTTAGCTTCAACTTTAGTTTGATTAATTAAACTAAGTTTCCCTGCCAAATCACGTGCTTTTAGTGAAAGAATTTGCATATTGAATTATTGTTGGAAATGTGAGAGTAATGTGAAAATTGAGAAGTGAACATATCATTTGATTAAAAAAATTGCTTGCAGAAGCTAATTAATATGACATGTCCTAAAATCTAGCAAGTTCCAGTTGTTAATCGTTTAATGCTTGAAAAAAGATGTGGAAAGTAGTTTAAGGACATATGTCATAACCCTGAAAGGATATCTTCTGATTTGACTTGTTAATACTCAAACAATATAATTATTATCCTGAAAAGGATATCTTCTCAATTCAATTTTATGTTGTTAATTCACATATCATTGCTCAAAGTGGAAGTAGATTGGAATAGAGGAAGTTCTGCTATTAATTTAGTAATATGCATCATTGTTTGTTGATCTTCTATACTTCTTGCTTCTTTGTGTTTGGACCTATGCATCACCTCCTTGCTAACTTGATTCTTGTAATTAAGTCCATTTAACAGCTGAGACGCAATCAAAACTATGAATTTATCTGGACTTGGCACACTAAGAGAACAAGTGCTAACAGATAATAATCCCTTGTGAACTAGATATTTCATGTTGGTTAACAGATTGGTGAGCGATTAAAGAAATCCATTTATCATTTTGTGTCTATATACTTGTTTTGGAGACTTAAAATCGCCTAAACTTTTCTTAAAATTATTTGCAGTATTTCTATTATCCACTAGCTTTCCAATAAGAAAATTCAACAGTAATTGGGCGTAAATACTGTTGAATTGATTTCTTTTAGATTTAGTCATCATATTGAACTTACCTGTAGTCTTCCCTGAGTAAAATTACTAGGACCACTTACTCTTCCTATGCAGTTTGTTTTGTTTTGCCTTTCCCCAATTCTGATATTAGTGTATATCTTGTCTAGCTTTGTGTGTCTGTTGCAATATTTAGCCTCTTATATTTCTGACATCTATCTGAGATTGCTTGTGTCTTGAAATTAAATACAATGACAGAAAACATAGAGGATGGAAACTTGCATGAAGTTGGAATTGGGCATTGCTTGTCAGAAACACTTTTACATGCTGAAAAATAGGAAAAGAAAAAGGGAATAGCCGATCCTGTTATTTCTAGGTATATGGTTGGGTTTTGAAGTGCGCTGTACTTTCCAAGTTTTAATTGCTTTTGTTTAATAGTTTACAGCATCTGTGTCTTGGTTGGGGCTGTAAATGCATTCCAAATGAATGAACTGACTCCATTGTTATGGAGAAGTCCTTGTGTTTGCTTAAATCCCGCAAAATGCTGTAACTGAACTACAAAATAAGGCAGAAGAATCTTGAGATGGAAGTTCTTGAGTCCTGTGCTCCATGCAAACTTACTAAATGGTTTCTAGGACAGGGATAAAGAGTACATAGTAAAGCAGTCATAATGGATGCGTTGGAAACGTTCCGACACTCGATTTATCAATGGCTGCTAATCAAGAAATTCAAGGTTCTGATTCTACTCATTGCCATTTGGTTTTGATTTCGATGCTCAGATTCTTTCGTAGGTTTGGTTTTCATTCATGAATGCACCATTGGTTTCAGATTTTTAGATCTTATATCATGAACGCATTAATCTGTGTCCCATTTGCAACAAGAAAAGAAGCAAAAGATATGGAAGATAAGGAAACAGAAAAGGAGGCTGGTGGGAATGTCATAGTTTACTGCACTTGATTAGATTTCTATAGCTGCCCTGCCAGAGTGATTGCATTCGATGACTGATTGAATTGATTGGATTTGCAATCCATTCCACAAATTAAACTGGATTTGATCCAGTATGCTTGGTTGAGAAAGAGTGAATACTTCCTGTTATATTGAAAGATGCTCTCTGGCTAGTAGCTTTTGATTGTTTTGTATTTGACACTGGAATAAAGTACAACGTATTCTTAAATGACCAAGATTAATACCCAAGTAAATCCAGAGAAAGAAGTTGCAGATGATTTAAATGTCCATTGCAGTTTTAGCTGTCCAAGACTAAATTCTTTTTCTAGGTTGACGTGGATGATATCAATGCATATCCAAGCAGACTTGAAACGACATTTTTTTCAAAGTTTGACTAGAGGCAAATGGCGAAAAAAGAATAAAAGGACTAGACGCAAACATGTGGTACCAAGAGTTGAGAATGAGATCAACACACAGCACTCAATGCCATTTCCAACCCAAAAAAAAAAAAGAAGAAAAAAAGAAAATTCAGAGGCCTATAAATATTTAAAGTTCAGAAGATTTGATATTTCACAAATCGTGCATCCTGCTCCGAAGGACTGAAATTTTTTACAAGTCTCTGGATGATCATATGTATTTGAGAAATCTCTTTGAAGTTGTGTAAATTAAACTATGGTATATATTGGATTGTGGGTATTGATTACTTCAATTCCAGAAATGTAGCCTTTCCTTTAGTGAAGCAACAGACATCCTTTGCTTACCTTCAAAAGCATTTTGAACATCAAGATGTGCACGTTTTTCTTTAATTCTACCTCTTGTTTTGCTCTTCTGTGATTCATATTGGAAGATTAGTTGTTCCTTTGTCTAATACTGTTCTTTTGTGACATTATTTCTAGTGTTGGATTGTTTGTTATAACTGACTTTGTGACCTTTTGTTTGTAGCTAGATTCTACCTCAGTAGTAGCAAACAATCCTTACATTGCTGTAAACTTCCCAAACAATGTACTGCCAAATGTCATAAGAAGGCCGTGGAAGTTTGTACCTCCATCAAGGAAATGGGAACTGCATTCAACTGCACAAACCAAGAGTACAGTCTTAAGTGATGAAGAAAAGAAATCATGGGATGCTTGCAGACAAGCTCTCTCTACATTTGAATTTACTGTTGAGGAAGAGGACAAAATATTGGGGAAAGCGTTTGGCCATATCCACTCCCCTTATTGGAGTGAAGAACGGAAAATGGAAGTGCCAAGATTTGATGTTGTAAGTGAAATTTTAAGCTATCTAAGGAGCTTAAACCTCGCTGATGATGATCTTTCCAAACTTCTGAAGAAGTTTCCTGAAGTTCTTGGATGCAGCCTTGAAGATGAATTGAAGAACAATGTAAAGGTTTTGGAGAACGAGTGGGGCATTGAAGGAAAAACTCTAAAGAACCTCCTCATGCGCAATCCAAGGGTACTAGGCTATAATGTCGATTGTAAGGGAGATTGCATGGCCAAATGCACTCGCTGCTGGGTACGGTTCTAACTGAATTTCTTGTTTCAATTAGGCTTACACCTCATGCATACATAAATCTGCTTTACCTGTAAAATTTATAAGCGTCATACTTCAGAGAGGTTTCTATGTTGATCTATATAGTCTGGAGATGCTCCCAGCCTATGGAAACATATTTTGTTTTTACAGTAAACGAACTCTTTGTAATGGGAGCTTCTTTGATCCTCTTCCTCTTTGAGAATGAAGGAAGAGTTATTTATTTCTCAGAAAAAGAGAATCAATGCTGGAAGAAAGATGTTCTGCACTTGCATAATTGCCTTCCTAAATTATATTGGAAACAAACTCAATTGGAAGTTATGTACTTGGACAACAGCTTTTTATTTGCATACTTCGTAATACTAGCAGCATTCTGGTACCTATTTCTGATAATTGATTCATGCTGAAATTGTTTAGTGCGAATTGGTGTTGTAATCATGAAAATCTAGGCAGAGCTATGCTAAAGCAAGGATTTAGTTTTCTATGTGAATCTTTTAAAGATTTGCAAAGAAATGATAGATGATGGCTGATTTGTTCACGTTTTCGTAGAAACTAGAAATGAATATACTGATAACGGGATAATTCGCCATTTCTTTGGATTGTTTTTCAAGAACTCGGTTTTTGAAAAAAGTTTAACACATTCTCTAATTGCCCTTTTATTTTGCATACATTATTTCCAATGAAATTGCCAGAGTAAATTAAAAAAAAAAAAAAACCCCCCAAAATCAACCGTCCGAAGGGCATATCCGGTTTTAAGTGTGGGCGTTACGAATACAGAGCCACAAATTCGTTAATAGTATGTTATGAAATCAATACTAGGCTGATTATTTTGAGTTTATCTACGAAAAGCGATGGACACAAATATGGGAATGTTTAAAATCGAGAAGATAGACCTTAATTTAGTTTGTATATGTTATCGTACAAGTTATGTGTCATTTAGTATAGAATTTTTCTATTTTACACACACACACATCTTTTATTTCTCTCCACATCCTTCTCATCTCCAATGGCCAACTCTGAATTTAAAATTTTAGCCTAACAACAGAAAGAACTCTAAAAATCCTCTCGCCTGATCACTAAACCAACTGCAGTGGCTATAAGATTATTATTCAAGTAATATTTGATAATGCCCGTTGAAACTTGTATAAATAAATGGAAAATGGCACTGAAAATAACCGGAAATAGATCACTTCGTAAATTACAAAACTAGAGTATAATCAATAATGCCATGAGCACGGATATAATAATTTAACAAAAGCCTGTAACCGTCTAACCAACTTCAATCTATAATTCAAATCTAAACTATGCTGTTTTTCAGAAGTAGTTATATTACTGTCTTGGTTGTTCATCTACCTCATTGCTCAAAAGTTTAGAAAACATTATCTTTGAGTGGCTTAATCCTGGGAAACTAAAGATGGAGATAACACAGATTATTAAATTCATAAGAGAGCAATGTATAACCAAAAATCAATCCTCCAGCTCTCGCACCATGTACAAAGCATTCCATAGCCAGGAAATTCAAAGCATTCAGTTATTTATGAAGAAAAAAAATTCATGTTATTTAAGAACAATAAAAAAAATCCAGTTACAAACAATAGCAATATATTTAAATTTGTGTCATTTATGAAGAAAAAAATTAAGTTCTCAGTCCATTTTCAATTAGTGCACAATTTAATGAATACAATTATTAAAAAATTTGCAGTAGTGTTAGTATCCAAACGTGGAATAAACAACATTGAGATATCAAATGCACAACAATTTAATAGCAAATAAGCCACAAGCACGAAAGATAAACGACACATAATATTTAACGTGGTTCGACTCCACCATTGAGCCTACGTCCACGGAGAGAAACCTGTTCTTTATTATGAGAGGAAAATCCTATACAAGAATATAACTTGAACCCATGTCCAACCCTTGTATATCATCTTTCATCTCTCATGAACCCTCTCTCACACCCCATGTATAAGGCTACATAATGCCCCTTGTGTCTCCTTGTGTGTCTCTTGTGTAGTATGACAACTCACCTATTTATAGAGAACATTACTGCCAAACAACTAAATAACAATTGGAAACCAATACTATTTTCTAAACTTATATAAAGTAGAAAATAGTATATAATTCTAGCTAAATAGGGTTTTACTTGACTACTATTTCAAATAACTAAATCCAAGGAAACTAGTTACTTAACTTACTTCTCACACCAAATAGGAATCTTGACTAAAAGAAATTAAACCAATTTCCTAACAAATCTCCACGTTGGCGAATATTTCTTTTAGCAAACACAGCAAACCATCCAAAAACTCCATTTGCCTTTTCCCACCAAGTACCTTGGTGCCTAGCTACACACCCGAATCAATACAGTCCTGACACTAAATTGATTCAATCGACAAATGAACATGTGTAGTTATCCCGAGTCCAACCTCCAGTTGGCTTGTGAGAAGGTGCCTCAATTCACCATTTCCCTTTGCAGGATTTTTTCTCACCACCACTGGCAATCTGAGATTCCCTTCTGTGAGCTCTAACCCTAACCATTGAGGCAATCAAGTGGTAAAATCACCATACTTCTTTCAATCCTCAGGACTGTCTCGCCACATGTGGTTTCCAAAACTCCACCTAAAACGAAAAACTCGTACCTGTCAGAGTTTTCTGGCGCATAGAAATTAGATCTCCTTGTTTCTTTGGGACACGTACCACACCACTCAAAAAACATAATCAAAATCTAAAATCCACCGGGATGAAGTATCAACCGTTGGAGGTGTGAGAAAGTTTCTACCGATTCACGTTCAAAATCAACATTGGACTCCACCTTTTCCTTGACTCTTGAATCACCTGCCCAGATCCACCGTCAAACATCTCCATACTTTTCGACTTTTCATCCTTCATCATCAATGCTTTTTGCCAAGCCATTAAAACAAGGATGCCACCCATTAAATTGTTCAATTGGTGACAACTACCAATCCACTTGATCTCAATAGTTAACCAGGATCCAATCTTGAACAACCAATCTCTTGATCCAACCATTCATTTTGTTAGGATCCAAGTGTTTGAGAGCAACCCAATCTCGCAACCAGGCTCTGATACTACTTGTTAGGATCCAACCGTGGAATAAACAATATTGAAATATCAAATGCACAACAATTTAATAGTAAATAAGCCATAAGCGCGAAAGATAAACGACACACAATATTTAACGTGGTTCGACTCCACTATTGAGTCTACGTCCACGGAGAAAAACCTGTTTTTTATTATGAGAGGAAAACCCTATACAAAAATACAACTTGAATCCAATCCCAACCCTTGTATACCGTCTTTCATCTCTCAAGAACCTTCTCTCACACCCTATGTATAAGGCTACATGATGACCCTTGTGTCTCCTTGTGTGTCTCTTGTGTAGTATGGCAACCCACCTATTTATAGAGAATATTATTGCCAAAAAACCAAATAACAATTGGAAACCAATACTATTTCCTAAACTCATATAGAATAGAAAATAGTATCTAATTCTAGTTAAATAGGGATTTACTTGACTACTATTTCAAGTAACTAAATCCAATTAGAAAATTAGTTACTTCCTACACCAAATAGGAATCTTGACTAAAAGAAATTAAGCCAATTTCCTAATACTTAGAACTTGAATTTTCAATAACTATGTCCTTTAAAGGTTTCTTAATTTCAAATATTTTTATTGCATATTTTATCACATGTTTCAACAACGTTTGTTAGCCCCGGTGCAACCCAATGAGTACAAACAATTTCACAATGATGCACAAAGATATATCAAATTTAAGCACAATAAGGAAAACTTAATTAAAGAGAAAAGATAAGAAATGCAAACCAAATATCAATCCAATAGCCTCTTCAATTGATGGCGATGCTAACCAAGATGTACAAGTGAAGGCTCACTCCTTCCTCACCCCAAACACACTTTGGTTGAGCCAAGGAGTTTTACAACTATTCTAGTTAACCCTCAACAACCTACACTTGAAAGATCACTCACCCAATTAAGAACTATTTTATACAAATGAGGCAACCTTCACCAAGGTTTTACCACTTCAAGTGATAGGTTCACCTTCACCAAGGTTTTACTCTTGCTAGAGAGTAACCTTCACTTGAGCAACCTCACAACCCAACTTCCCTAACCCTTTATACAACCAACAAAGAATCTTTCTACTCAAAAATCTCACTTGTAAGCTTGTATTTTGTGTTGGCAAAAGTCTCTTGTCTTCTTGTGCTTTGGGGTCTTTATAGAAGGTGAGAAATGGCTCCAAAAGGCTCTCCAACGGTCAAATATTAAATGCTGTCAAAACTAGCCGTTGGCCTGTCGGACGTCCGAACCACCTGTCGAGCGTCCGAACCCAGCGTCCGAACCACCTGTCGGACGTCCGAACCCTGCGTCCGAACGTAGTCAGAGAGTCATCAAATCTTTGCGAAATTTCTCGGACGTCCGATGCGATTGATGTGCGTCCGATGCGTGCGTCCGTTGATATTCTTCATCCTTTCGGACGTCCGATAGCTTCCTTTCGGACGTCCCACATGAGTGCCCTGTTTTTGCTTCTTCTTTTGTGCCACAAGAATCTGTTCTAACAAATTGCTCACATAAAAACATTAGCCCAAATCTACATTTTGGTTTGTTAATCATCAAAACCAAGGATTGATCGACCAAGGTCAACAACGTTAAAGTGATGTTTCTTTCGGTAGGAAATATGGATAACTAATTATTAGAGTTAAATTACCATATATCTTGAACCAAGTTACAAATAGATTATGGCCCAAGGTTTTAGAGGTCCTGAAATTTAATCCCCTTTCCCTTTTCTATTTTTTATATCCCATATTTTCTCTGCTAGAAATTTTTTTTAAAAAAAGTTACGAATATATTATGAAGAAACCTTTTGATTCACTAAAAGCATAAACAACATAAGGAATCTTGAAAATTACTTGATGCTAGAAATTAGAATATCACATTTTTGTATCATTAAATTGAAAAGAAAAAAAAAAGAAGAAATATATTTAGCCAATGGCCACTCGATGAAAATTTCAAAAATCTCACTTGCCTCCCTTACTGTAAAATTTTTATGTCATTTGATATCCATTTCAAAATATAATAATAAAAAAATCATTTTGCGAGAGAGAATATAATATTATTCCAAATTTACCCTTTTGTTGTCTTACTGTTTAATATAGAAACTTTTTTTTCAACTAGCCCTTTAATTTATTAATATATAAAAATAAAGGAAGGAAGAGGACTAAACCAAAACCTCCAATACATGGTGATAAAAGGAAAAATACAAATAAAAGAGGAGTACCATTCCTAACATATATATTAATTTAAAAAAACTTGAGTATATTAAT